GAAACCTGCTTAGACTACAACTTATTTACAGCCAGTAAAGTATCTAGACATACTTTCAGTATCTACTTTCTGAGAGCTACAGTTGGTACAGCTATTTCTGCAGGAGCTGCTCTCAATAGAGCTGCTTCTGTAATAGCTGCTTTTGCTAGGGCTACATTTGCAAGGAGGTAGCATGTTTTGATGGAGCTGCACTTGCTAGGGTTGCTTTGATTAGAGCTACATTTTCTATTGTCACTTTTGCTAGAGTTGCTTTATTAGAGACAGTTTTGCTGGAATTGCTTTTGCCAGTATCTACTTTTGCTAGTTGCTGCTTTTGCTAAAGCTGCTTTTACTAGAGCTGCTTTTGCTACAGTCCCTTTAGCTAGAGCTGCTTTTGCAACAGTCCCTTTAGCTAGAGCTGCTTTTGCTACAGTCCCTTTAGCTAGAGCCGCTTTTGCAACAGTCACTTTAGCTAGAGCTGCTTTTGCTACAGTCACTTTAGCTAGAGTTGCTTTTGCAACAGTCACTTTAGCTAGAGTTGCTTTTGCTAGTCACTTTAGCTAGAGTTGCTTTTGCTACAGTCCCTTTAGCTAGAGCTGCTTTTGCTACAGTCACTTTAGCTAGAGCTGCTTTTGCTACAGTCACTTTAGCTGGAGCTGCTTTTGCTAGTCACTTTAGCTAGAGCTGCTTTTGCTACAGTCACTTTAGCTAGAGCTGCTTTTGCTACAGTCACTTTAGCTAGAGTTGCTTTTGCTAGCACCTTCTATTGTTAGCGTCTACTTCTGCTTTCCATTATTAGTTACTTTTGTCAGCATCTACATTCGCTGGAGATGTTTTTTCATGAGTTTCTTTGGCTAAAGCTACACTTGGTAAAGTCACTTTTCCTAATTGAGTTTTTGAGCTATGTTGGTACTTATTTTTGCTAATATCTACTTTTGCTAGAGCCACTTAGTCAGTATCCCCTTTTCCTAGTGTTACTTTAGCTCATTGCTACTTTTTGCTGAAGCTGCTTTTTGCCACACTTTTGCTAGATTTGCTTTTGCTAGCACCTTGTTTAGCTAGCTTCTACTTCTGCTTTTCATTATTAGTTACTTTTGTTAGCCTCTTTTTTCACTGGATGTGCTTTTTCAAGAGTTTATTTGGCTACACTTGAAACGTTTGTTAGAGCTTTGCTAGTTGGTTTGTTGAGCCATGTTTGGTAGAGTAACCTTTGCTAGTATGTACTTTTGCTAGAGTCACTTTAGTCAGTAGCTACTTTCCTAGTGTTTCTTTAGCTTGCTGCTACTTTTGCTAAAGCTGCTTTTACCAGGGCTGCTTTTCCTACAGTCACTTTTACTAGAGTTGGTTTTGCTAGCACCTTCGATTGTTAGCGTCTACTTCTGCTTTCCATTATTAGTTACTTTTGTCAGCATCTACATTTACCGGAGGTGTTTTTTTCATGAGTTTCTTTGGCTAAAGCTACACTTGCTGTAGTCACCTTTGCTAGTTGCTTTGTGGAGCCATGTTTGGTAGAGTTACTTTTGCTAGTATCTACTGCTCGTACTAGAGCTGCTTTTGTTACAGTCACTTTTCCATGAGTTGCTTTTGCTAGCCCCTTCTTTTGCTAGTGTCTACTTCTGCTTTTCATTATTAGTTATGTTTGTTTGCATCCACATTCACTGGATGTGTTTTTTCAAGAGTTTATTTGGCTAGAGCTACACTTGCTACTTTGCTAGAGCTTTGCTAGTTGATTTGTCACGCGTTTAGTAGAGTTACTTTAGCTAGTATGTGCTTTTGCTAGAGCCACTTTAGTCAGCATCTCCATTTTCTAGTGTTACTTTTGCTAGTTGCTAGTTTTGCCAAAGCTGCTTTTGCTAGAGCTGCTTTTGCCAGCACCTTCTTTTGCTAATATCTACTTTTGCCTTTCTTTATTAGTTATGTTTTTTAGTATTTACATTTGCTGGATGTGTTTTTTCAAGAGTTGGCTAAAGCTACACTTGCTAGTTTGCTAGAGCTTTGCTAGTCGGTTTTCCAGCTATGTTTGGTAGAGTTACTTTTGCTAATACCTACTTTTGCTAGAGCCGCTTCAGTTATTTGGAGTTACTTTTGCTGAAAGCTGCTCTTAATACAGTCACTTTTGCTAGAGTTGCTGTCGCTAGCACCTTCTTTTGCTACTATCTGCTTTTTGCTTTTAATTAGTACTTACTTTTCTTAGCATCTACATTTGCTAGATGTTTTTTTTTTCAGGAGTTTTTTTTAGCCAGAGCTACACTTGCTGGTTTTGTTAGAACTTTGCTAGTTGATTTGTCAAGTTTTTGTTTGTTGGAATTACTTTTTGCTAGAGCCACTTTAGTCAGTAGTTACTTTAGCTCGTTGCTACTTTTGCTGAAGCTGCTCTTCCTATAACTCTTTTTGCTGCAGTCACTTGTGCTAGAGTTGAATACCTTCTTTTGCCTTTCATGGTTTGCTACTTTTGTTAGCATCTACATTTGCTGGATGCGTTTTTTGGCTAGAGCTACACTTGCTAGTTTTCTAGAGCTTTGCTAGTTGGTTGTTGTTGAGCTACATATGGTAGAGTTACTTCTGCTAGTTCCTAATTTTGCTAGAGCTGCTTTTTTAGATTTTGCTGCTAGAGCATTTATATTAGCGACTGGTTTTTCTGAAGTTACATTTGCTAAGGCGCTTATGCTGGTCATTCCACAATGTCTGCAAGCTTTGCCACAATCTGGAAAAATCAACACTGATGGCAAGTTGGAGTGTCTCATTTCTGAGGCGGGTCATTTGTGTTCGGCTGCCTCACTGAAAGTGACTGGACTTGAAGTAATTGACTGTAATATGAGGCCGTGCACAAAAGGGAAGCAGTGATGCCGAAGCTTTCACTGACTTGAATCGTTGCTTGTCCGGCCTCAGTTGACCTAACAAACTCAGTTTCAGCTGAGTGTGTTTATCAAGGCATCCCCATAAATTCACTTGAATGCACAGTAAAAACTGAGGCCGCTAACACAGAGTTTATACTGTACATAAGTGATATTGTTTCTGCGATTCTTTGCATTCGCATCTTTCTTTGGACAGAAGGAGAATAGCTTGCAATAAATGAGTCATGAGCTTATAAACTGGTTAGGCAACCGGAGCCACTACTGTCACTTTCCATCTTCCCACTAAAATCATTTCTTCTGTTTTACGGCTGTGGCTTTATCAGTGAATTCCTCTGAGACACACTGATCTGCTGGACAGACATTCAGCCCTTCGGTCTCACAGCGTCGTAATGATGGCGTTTCTGCCTCTGCTCACGTCAGCAGCAGCTCTGACAGCGAGCCGCTCCCTTTAAGGGTTTAGACTGAGGTTCAGGACCTTTACAGGGCCCTCCAGAATTATTGGCACCCTTGGTGATAAGAAAGAACTTTGGAAAATGCTTTTCTTGATTTCTGACAAAAAAGATTGATTTGATTCATATTCCAAATGAAGTTATTAAAAAATGCATTTATGACATTCTAATAAAATTGACAACCAGAATGAAGTTCTAACAAATTAATTTTAAGAATAAAGTTCTAAGACAATTAAGAATTAAGTAAAAATTGGATTCATAAAGAATTCCCAGTAAAATTCACATTCAGAATGAAGTTCTAACAAAATGAATATAAGCAATTAAGCTCTGATAGAATTAATATCCAGAATGAAGTTCCAAAAATTTGAGAATGATGTTGTAATAAAATTAATATCCAGAGTGAATTTCTAATTAGTTTAATATTTGGAGTAAGGTTTTAACAACATTCATTTTGAGAATGAGGTTCTAATAGAATTCATATTCAGAATTAATTTCCAAAAAAAATCAATATCCAGAACAAAGTTCTAACAAGAATGAAGTTCTAGTAAAATTTAGATCCAGAATGAAGTAAAATAAGAATAATGTTTTCATAAAATTAACATTCAGAATGAAGTTCTGATTAAACTAATATTAAGAATGAAGTCCTAATAGAATTAATATTCACAAAGAAGTTTTAATAAAATTAGAATGAGTTTCTAAAAAAAATAAGAATGACATTCTAATAAAATTAATATCCCAAGTGAATTTCTAATTAGATCAATATTTGGAGTAAGGTTCTAATAACATTAGTTTTAAGAATGAAGTTCTAATAGAATTCATAATCAGAATGAAGTTCTAACAAAATGAATATTCAGAATGAAGTTTTAGTAAAATTTAGTTCCAGAATGAAGTTTTAGCAAAAATTAGATTCAGAAAGAATTTCCAGTAAAATTAATTCAGAATGAAGTTTTAGTAAAGTTTAGATTCAGAATGAAGTTCTAAAAAAATTAAGAATGACGCTCCGATAAAATTAATATCCAGAATGAATTTATAATCAGATTAATATTTGGAGTAACAAAATTAATTTTAAGAATGAAGTTCTAATAAAATTAATATTCAGAATTAATTTCCAATAGAATTAATATCACGAACAAAGTTCTAACAAAATTGGTTTTAAGAATTAAGTTCTAATAAAATTAATATACAGAATGAAGTTCTAACAAAATGAATTTAAACTATGAAGTCCTAATAGAATTAATATTCAGAATGAAGTTTTAGTAAAATTTAGATCCAAAATATGATTTTAAAGAAATTAATATACAGAATGAGGTTCTAATAGAATTAAAATTTTTAATGGCATTCTAATAAAAATAATACTCAGAAAAAAGTTCTATTTAATGTGATGTCCAGAATTTCTAATACATTTAATATCCAGATTGACTCCGATTTCAAAAGTGAAGATCAAATTTTGAGGAAGGTCATTATTATAAATATATAAATCAGTGTTTACTTTACTTATCACTTAATAATTTGTTGTCGTTCCAAAAAATCATCTAAACCATCTAAAATATTACTTGGTGTCTAGTTTATAGTTCTTAGCTCTAGTTTTAATATTTATCGAATGTTGAATAAATAAATAGCTATTTTAGACGTTATTACACTTTTTTAAATGAACCACTTTATTGTTTTTTTTTTTTAATTAATTGTTTAAAGCGTTTTATGTTTGTTTGTTGTTTAGTGTTTCCAACATCCTGGTCTGTGACGAGACTGTGAGGGTGTCGTTTGTGTTTGTGGTGACAAAACCAAGCAACACCGCCGAGCTGGTGCCCAAAGCCGAGGTGGAGAACGCTATTAAGTAGGAACACAGCCGCTCGTCTGAGCTGACGACTGATTTCAGATCAATCTGGAAATAAAATTCTCTGATTTCTCCGATTTTAGTCCAAGTTTATAGATCACAGTGAGTCATACAGAGTCAGTGTGATGGTTTAGGTGTGCAGTTAGCATCATTTTACATGATGACTCAACTCAAAGAATCATTTGAAAGTTTAAATGATTCTTTGCATGGCTAAATGGTTCATGCGCCAAAAAGGTTCCACTATTGTTGTTTTTGGTACTACAGAGAACCATTTTTGCTAAGAGTGTACATAAGATAGCATCACCTATTCGCTATTTTAGCCTCATAACTGCGATAGATCATCACTTTAATCAAAGCCAAGTGAACGATGAAGACTCTAAATGATGATTCATGTTCATATAAGTTCATGTTATGAATTAAATTGTCTGTTTTTCATGTTACATTCAGACTATCTATGTTTCTCTGATCTTTCAGGAAGTCCAGGCACCGTATCAACAGTGCCTTCCTGCTGACTGACCAGACGCTGGACTTTGTGGGAATTGACCCCACCCTCGCGGCCCCCATCCAGTATGACACCCCGCCGTGGCTCATCGCCTTCGGGGTGGTGATGGGGCTGGTGTGCGCCGGCATCGTCGCTCTGCTGGTCTCCACATTTATCAAGAAGACACGGTCAGTAGAGTGTGTGTGTGTGTGTGTGTGTGTGTGTGTGTGTGTGTGTGTGCACAGATCAGATCAGATCATATCAGACCAGATCATATCAGATCATATCAGACCAGACCAGACCTTATCAGATCAGACTAGATCAGACCAGACCAGACCATATCAGACCAGATCATATCGGACCAGACCAGACCTTATCAGATCAGACTAGATCAGACCAGACCAGACCATATCAGACCACACCAGCCAGACCAGACCAGACCAGATCACCTCAGCCAGACCAGACCAGACCAGATCAGATCAGATCAGATCAGATCAGTTAAGATCAGACCAGATCAGAACAGTACAGGCTAGACCAGATCAGACTAGAGCAGAGCACATCAGACTAGACCAGATTAGATCAGGGGAGATCAGACCAGACCATATCAGACCAGATCAGACCTGACCAGATGGAATAAGATCAGATCACAACAGGTTAAATCAGATCAGATCAGACCATACTAGAGCAGATCAGATCAGACCAGACCTGATTAGATCAGAACAGAACAGGTTGGACCAGACCAGATCAGACTAAAGCACAGCAGATCAGACCACACCAGACCAGACCATATCAGACCAGAGGAGATCAGATCAGACTTAGACCAGATCATATCAGACCAGAAGAGATCAGATCAGACCAGAACAGACCATATCAGACCACTGGAGGTTAGATCAGACCAGTGCATAACAGACCATATCAGATCAGAACAGGTTACACCAGATAAGACCAGACTATACTAGAGCAGATCTGATCAGATTAGATCAGACCAGAACAGATCAAATCATATCAGAACATATTAGATCAGATCAGATCAGAAAACGTAAGGTGTTAGGTCAATATTTAGGCAAAACACTTGATGAACATGTAATTAATTTTATCGTACTTAACTAACAGCCTCTACTCTTCTGGGAAGGCTGTACACTAGATGTTGGAACATTGCTGTGAGGATTTGATTGAGCATTAGTGTGGTCAGGTACTGAAGTTGGATGGTCAGTTCTGGATCACTCCAACTCATCCCAAAGGTATTGGAGCTCCGTCACTCTAGATATCACAGTTCCCCTGCTCCACACCTCAATGCTGGGGTGCTTTATGGCCCTCAAAGCCCACACTTGGCATTCGGTGACCTTAGGCTCATGTGCGGCTGTCCAGAGCAGCCCATTCTGTTGGTCAATGCTTGTCTATGGAGACTGACCACTTATGTCAGCAATGGAACACCTTAAATTAGCTGTATTAAATAATAAGCCGGGATGCTTTTGGATGAATAACGAGGCCTTAATGATGATCTACTTGCAGATCTAAGAAACCACTCGCTGAGTCCGCGGATGAGGAGGGGGCAGGAAGAGGAAACGGAATCCTGTGTGAAAGTATCAGGGGGAAAGACGGACTCTTCAACCGAGGATTCGTCGATGATGACCGCCTGACAAAGCTGTAAAGTGTATCCTGGTGGAAGTTGACAAGATATCCTCACTGACCCAAACCAAGGCAGTGCTAAGACCATCAGTGTCCTGTGAAAACATCATAACTCTTATTTTGTGACAATATGTTAATAGTGCAAAAAGATTAAATATATATATATATATATTAAAAGACCTCCCAATTTTCTCCAGATAAAAAAGCCGGCCTGCGTTACCTCTTACGTAACTTTAATGGACTTTTATGTAACTTTAACTGATCTCCATTATTAATCGGAGCGTTTCGTGGCTGCTACGCTGGTCGGCATGTGCAGACGCAGCAGCGTAGCTTAATGAACGTTCAGAAGGAATCAATTATTCATGAGGAGCACCACCAACAGCTCCACGGTGAGAGACTAAAGCTTTCTCGGGATGATCAGAGAGAACTTTTAACCGTCTGTCAGAGGCAGAAATGCAGGAAAGCGCTAATGTCACTTTTCAGCACCGTAAGTGCCGTTTTACAGCACTCAAAACTTCATATTATAATAATTTCTCACAATTGAACTCTCCAGTCTGCACCTGAATTATTTAAACACGCTCATGTCGCTGGTTAAGGCACTTTTTAAACATTCATAGAGAGGTGGGTAAAAACCGGCTCCATTTATTCAGTCAAATTTTGATTTTTTTGGGGATTTTTCAAAGCGAATGCTTTTGCTTATATTTATGAGTCGCCTACTTTTCACTTTAGTTCACTTTTAGTTACTAAGCTTGATTCTCTCTCTGGTGTTTAATTACATTCTGTAATTGCTGCTGTTACAGTCGGGGCTTCATACACTACAGGCAGAAATGGCAATTTTGGTCCATCAGTTGTTCAGATTTTTGGATTTTTGTGTCTTCTTTTTAACTGTAATCATAAAAATGTAAAAAAGAAAGATTTTCATTTCGGCATGTTTTGTCAGTTCATGTCCACTTGTGTCTAGCTGTATTTTCTAAACATTAGCAACTTTAATGATGTTTGGCTCCTCCCACAGTCATCACATATGACAAACACATCATATCTTATATCACAGAAAATGTAGTTTCCTAAAGAATCTAAATACAATATCCAAATATGGCAGTTTCCTTTGTATTAAATAATTAAATGACATAAATGATGGATGTTTTCTTAGTAATGCAGTTCTGAAGCCCATTCTTAAAACCATTTTTCTCAGAAATCTCAGCTTTTAGAAAACCTGTGTTTATTAAATTTTATATCGCTGCTGTTGGAACAAAACTTCATATCTTCATTTTTGTCGTTTTTCAGTTTTTGACATAATCTGAAAGTGCCTGTTGTTCTTTACATTGCGTGTAAATTTCATGATGAATGGACCAAAAGAAATGACCCAAAATGACTTGTAAAAAAGTCTGGTTCCATTGACTTACATTAAAAGTAAACTATGTTTTTTCCTTCTCCTGTAAAGTTACCATTTTGGAGATGCAAGGTTTTGTTCTGACAACAGCGATATGTTAATTCCTGACTCTATTCTGAAGGATATTACAGAAGGATTCCCTAATTAATCACAGCTGAATTTATGTTAGATTTTGTGCTACTAAAGTACCTGAATTTTTTTTTTTTTATAAAAACATCAAAGAGTGTTTTCTTAATTAAACTGGAATGCAATAAACTTTAATAATCTGTTTTGAAAAATTCTCTCTGTAAAGTGTGTCGACACATTTATAATGGACGACACATTTTAGTGTCATCGTGAAAGTCTGAATTTTTCAGTTTTAAAAACAGGCAAATGTATGCTTATTTGAGTAGATAGCATCTCATTTGCATATCTAAATGCAATTATATTTTGCATTTTTTTTGCAAAATATATAACTATAACTAAGAATACTGACACTAAGAATATCATTAATGAACTGGCAAAGATTCATTGTAATATCTACTGTGTTAAAAAGTGACCCTTGTAGCGTCACTCCTTAAACTTTACAACATGGAAAACCAACATTTTCCCACTTTTTGTTTAAATTAAAGAGTCTGTACATTTTGTTAAAGTTGTTTTCATGATCATCCTGCTATTCAGCCTCCCGCAATGTAGCTCCGCCCACTCACCCTGAAGTTATAAGTAGCACTGTTTTTTAAACGAGGCAGTCAGAAAAGAGACCATTTGCATATTTCAGTCTTAAAGGCACAGAAACAAAAACAGCATGTTTAAGATAAACAGAGGTCACATTAAAATGAATTGTGACTGTTTTTGGTATATGAAACTACAGAGATGTCAGAAGTGAAGCTCAGGGAGAAAAATAACATAAGAAATTTACAATGTGGACCAATTGAAGTCTTTCATTAAAGCCTTTCAAAGTTTCTAGTCTCTTCTGTGGTTGGCAGATCTTTCAGTGTTGAGGTCCATAAACGTCCACGGAGCTTCTATAACATCACCATCAAATCCCAGTTAAAGACGTCCTACCTCGGTCCTGTCAATCATCCTGCTGTCGTCTAGGTGGATCGTGTTATTTTGCTGTATCCTCCCCTGTATTGTGTGTTATTTGTCCCTCACAGGTGTGTTTCATTGTCTTTTCTGCTGAAAGGTGGTCTTATCTGCTTTATCCTAACTCCTATAGTCATATCTAATGTTCTGCCCCCTCCACATGTTCTGTTATTGATTTGTAAAGCGACCTTGAGCCGCTATATTAATAAAAGCTCAGGTTGTTTTTCAGAAGATTATTTTTGTACTGCTATGCGAGTCATTTCACAATTTTCTTAAGGTTTTAAGCTCCTGATGGTGCCTCCAAGTACGGTTAGCGATGACCTAACCTGATCTTAAGGACTGATTCTAGTACTATGGGATGTCTTGACTCTTTAAATGCCCAGGCTTGTTAAATTCTAGGGCTTATTGCCTAGCAACTGTATGAAAAACTTAATCTAAAGTTGAAGACCATGACGGAAATGAGCTCAAGGGCTTTAATTTGTTTGATTTTAATGGCTGTAATGGCAGCTAGACTAATGTGTGGCTCACGTTCTGTTAACTTATTACTTGACGTTCAATAAAATCAATTAAAACGTAAGAGGAGTTCTTCATTTTTCAAAATCCCAGCAAAATTAACTGGTTAAGATGTAAACAGAGTCATTCAGAGTGGTTTGGCGTGAAATGCAGTCAGAACTGTCCACAGTGGTGGTGATAGGAACCAGACGTCTGAAGAGCTTAATGACCCTAAAAGCCACACGATAAACACTGAAGCAACTTCACAGCTTTTCTGATTTGACTTGACTTGAGGGCACCGAGTTCACCTGTTAACTCGGAGAAGCTGTGAAGAAAGTTGCCTTATAATTTATGGTTGACCCGACCTTTATTTTTAACAGTGTAACTATGACACAAAGTGTTTACAGTGTAGAAAATGGTTTGTCTGTTCAGCATTCATCAAATTACATCATGTCTCAACAAATTATTTATGTGGTTCCATTCAGTACTTACAAAATGTTTGTTTAGATGAATAAAGTAGGTTTCGACATTCAAACTCAGCTTCTACCCTGTCTGAGGTATTGTTTTATAATAGTTTGGAGAAGGTTTTGGCCTAAAATATGTTTTTTGAAATGTATTTTTCTCCATTCATGGCAGAGAATTACATATAAGACAACTTTTTTTCAGATTTACCATCAACATTACAGTCATATGCAAAAGTTTAGCGTCAAACTACACATTTTGTGGCTTTTTCAAGTTAAAATTTTCACACAAGTTAACACGTCCTCTACAGGGAGCACATTTTAGTGCAAATTTTAGTGCACAATTTCTTTTTATTTGCTCAGTTTAATATTAAAATATAAAATGTGCCATAACTTTTGCACAGGCCACATTGTATGTTTTATTTTTTCCTATAATACGTAAAATTCAGCGAATTTTCTCTGTAGAGGGTGTGTTCACTTATTTTCACTCAGGAAATCAACAAACCATGTTATTTGACCAGGGACGCCCAAACTTTTGCACACAACTGTATGTGAACCATTCTGAAAAATTAGTTCAAACTCAGTCTCACAGTAAAAACTGGTAATCAGACCTGAAATACTGATAACGGTTATGTTCTGATCCATCTAAACCCAAAGCAATAATACAGACAGTAATAAGCTAAATATACACAAAGTCATCATTTAATGAGTCGTTTATTTTACACTTTAAACTTTCGCTTGAAAAAGAGTGCTTAGATCATTTTTAAATGTTGTTTTTGAAGATATTTTGATTTCTTTTAAAGTTGAAAGAATTAGATTTAACATGAGTTTCATAAAAAACAGGGTTCTATATAGTACTAAAAATGGTTCTTTGGCTTGTAACAGCAGAAGAACCCCTTTTGGTGCTAAATAGGACCAACTACAGCATATTCTCCATCAACCTGAAGAACCATTTCACTATACAGAGAATCCTTTAATCATGCAAATGGTTCTTTGGGTGTTCATGGTTCTATATAGAACCATTTTCCTTACTAAAGATCCCTTGAAGGACCGTTTTAGGAGTGTACCAAAACATAAAGAGTTTTAGTCTGTAGGCGGAGCCTTGTTTTAGCCACGCCCCTGCATTTTAGAGCAGGGAGTGAGGCTGCATCCCTGTCCCCCGTGGCCACATGGTGAGCAATTAGATCCCATTGATTTGAAGTAAATTTGTCCCAAAGTCGAAACTCAGTGTGGAACATTGAGAACTGTCACTACTGAAATGTAGATTTTCTGCTGTTGTGTTTTAATAAAACTATGATGATTTTATGTCTGTTCAGCTGTTCAAAGCTGTGTTTGCTGGTCAAGTACTGGCTAGTGGTTTATGTTCTGCTCAAAATGAGCTAAAAACAGTCACTACTGAAACATTTGGTAATTTCGGGTCGTGTTATGATTGTCTTGTTAGTTAAAATGAAAAGTTCAATCGTTTAATTTAATAAAATATGGATAATAAATGCATAGGGTCACTCAAAGTGAAAGATTATAGTCTAAAGTCCAAGTCAGTTAAACGTCCATAATGGGTTTTGACCTCTGAACCAGTTCAATAGAATAAACTGCATATAAACTCAGAAGACGCGTGTAGATTCACTGGTGGTTTTGGATGGTAAATCGCTGTTGTCGGAACAAAACCTAAAATGTATTAACTTTACAGGAGAAGGAAAAAACATACTTTATTTTCAATGTAAGTCAATGGAACCAGACGTCTTTACAAGTCATTTTGGGCCCTTTCTGTTGGTCCATTCGCCATGAAATTTACACACAATATAAAGGACAACAGGCCTTTTCAAATTATGCCAAAAACTGGA